AAGTAAGCTTGAGGCTAAGTTAAAGAAGTGTTATTTCATTGGTTATGGATATGAGGCATTTGGATATGGTCTCTAGGATGATCAGGGTCGGAAGATCATAAGAAGCAGGAACGTGATTTTTCAATGAGAAGGTTATGTACAAGGATAAGTCCAGTACAGTTTCTGAAACAACACTCACTGAAAACACTGAAAGAATCTGAGTTGGTAAGATTTGATGATTTAGCAGAGGTCACAGTGCAGGACAGAGAAGCAGGTGAGAGGAGAGTGGATCTGGGGCATCCACTCCTATTGTTCCACAGCCAGTTTCAGAGCAGTCTACCCCTACAGTTTTAGTTCGAAGGTCAGAAAGGGCTAGACGTTCTCCACAACGTTATTCTCCATCTTTGAACTACATTCAGCTGACAGGTGGTGGAGAACCTCAAAGTTATGAAGAAATATTGCAAGATGAAAATTCGAGCAAGTGAGAGCTTGCCATGAAGGAGGAGATGAATTCTCTGCTTGAAAGTCGGACTTGAGAGTTGGCAGATCTTCTATCTGGGAAGAAGGCATTACACAAAAAGTGAGTGTATCAAGTGAAGACTGAGCATTATGGCAATAAAAGGTACAAGGCTAGACTTGTTTTAAAGGGTTTTCAGCAGAAACACGGTATTGATTATTCCGAGATTTTCTCTCGTGTGGTGAAGCTTACAACCATCAGAATGGTACTGTCTATGGTGGCTACTGAAGATCTCTCCCTTGAGCAGTTAGGTGTGAAGACAACATTTCTTCACAAGGATCTTGAAGAAGACATCTACATGCACCAACCTAAAGGGTTCGTGGTACCAGGAAAGGAAGAGTCAATTTGCAGATTGAAGAAGAGCATGTATGGTCTGAAGCAAACTCCTAGACAGTGGCACAAGAAATTTGATAATTTCAAGCACAGTGCAGGGTACAACAGATGTCAGGCAGATCACTATTGTTATGTCAGGTATTTTGACAATTCTTATATCATTCTACTGCTGTATGTGGATGATATGCTTATTGCACGTGTTAGTATTGAGGATATCAATAATCCGAAGAAGAAGATGTCAAAGCACTTAGCAATGAAGGATTTGAGAGCGGAAAAATAAATCATTGGTATGAGAATTGTTAGAGATAGAGTCAGAGGCATGTTGAGACTCTCTCAGGCTGAGTATGTGAAAAAGGTACCTAGCAGGTTCAACAAGGCCAAACCAGTTGGCACACCCTTGGGAAGTCACTTCAGTCTCAGCAAGAATCAGTCACCCAGGTCAGAAGAGGAACAAGATCACATGAGTAAGGTTCCTTATGCTTCAGCTATTGGTTCACTTATGTATGTTATGGTTTGCACCAAATCGGATATTGCCCATGTAGTGGGAGACGTTACCAGATACATGAGTAATTCTAGAAAGGAACATTGGGAAGCAGTGAAGTGGATCTTGAGGTACCTAAGAGGCTCTGCAGAAACTTGCTTGTGTTTCTCAGGAAAGAGTTCAGAGGTACGTGGCTATGTTGATGCTAATATAGTTGGGGACATTGATACCAGAAGAAGTACTACATACTATATTTATATTTTTGGTAGCACTGCAGTATCGTGGAGCTCTAATATGCAGAAGACAGTTTCATTGTCTACCACAAACGCTGGGTATATAGCAGTGTCAGAGGCTGCAAAAGAGATGATATGGCTACAGGGCTTCTTGGAAGAATTGGGCTAGAAGAATCATAAGATCATTCTCTACAGTGATAGTCAGAGCGTCATATACCTTGCCAGAAATCTAGCATTTCAGTGCATGACTAAGCACATTCAGATCAAGTATCACTTCATACGGTCATTGTTAGATGACAGACAGTTGTTGCTTGAGAAATTTTGTAGAAGCCAGAACCCTGTTGATATGTTGACAAATGGTGTTACTCTGGAGAAACTGAAGTTGTGTGCAGCTTCAGTTGGTCTTCTAGCTTGTTCAGTTGGGCATTGAGTTGCAGAGGTGGAGGATAACACATTTGAAGAAAAAGGCTACGCCACTAGTGGAGGATATCAGTTTGAGGAAGAAGAAGTTGGAGTATGTGTACCGGTCTCCAAGTGGAAGATTTGTTGAGTGTGGAGCCCGGTAGAGAAAAACAAAAGAAAAAAAAACCATAACTACTCCCATTAACTTCCTCCCCTGTCTCTGTCTCTCTTTCGTGAACAAAATAGAACCCTCTCGTTTCAGTCTCTCTCTCTCTCGCGAAACAGGAAGCTCCCATTTTCGCGAATAGAAAAAGAAGTGCTCCCTATCTCCGACTCTCGCTCGCGAAACAGAAACCTTGCTCCCTCTGCGCGTCTTTGTTGAAGGTCTGGTGGTTCAATCAAGAGGGAGGAGTCGTTACTCCCTTGATATTTCTCCTCGGCAGGTGTTTTTGCAAGGTGTTGTTTTTGCGTGCTCTGCAGAAGGGAAAAGAAGATAGTGGAAGAAGAATGCTGCTCTTCTTGATTACTTCTTGTTAGCTTGTGACAGAAGAGAAATAGGTTTTTTTCTCTTGTACGTATTTCTTCTTCTTCGGTGTTCTTGCTCTTGGGTAAATCTTGGTGTAAAGAGTCTTGGTGTAAAGAGAAGATAGGCAGATTGATGCATTTGCTAGACTTGATTTGCTTTAGTTTAGGTGGCCTACATCCGATCGGCCTCTGGCCTCAGTTCAGGAGGTTCTATCTAGTCATATGGTCCCTTGGTTTCATACCAGTGGAACCTCCTTAGATGCACTTTTATGTCTCCTAATTTGTTGAATCATCTCGAGATTCGTAGAGGCGCATTCATGATGCACACATAAAAAAATACATTTTTATTTAATTATTTAATCATTTCAAATCATGATAAGCCGAACACGAACGAACATACATTAGTTTGTGTTCGGCTTATTTATAGTTCCAACTCGAAAAAATTATGTGTTCAACTCATTTGCTTAACCAATAAATCAAATACAAATTTTTAACGCGCTGAACATAAATTATTTGCGAATAAAGAGCACTTTTTATAGCCTTACATATCACTCATATTTTGGTGTTTTAATATAAACATCATGCTTAGAATGTATAAAAATAATAATCATGCCAGGCTGCTGACCTATTTGCAGACTTTCGTGAATTTATTAAACTAAGTGTGGTGTTTCACAGGCTTGCGAGATTTCAGTGAGCCATCTTACTTCGGGGCATATAATAACATTAATTATTTCGCTATAATACAGTTGCACAAGATTAACCAACTTAGGTAATGATTATTTTGAGTACAGTACAAAGGAAACCTTGCGAAGGATTATGTCTAAGTATTTGAGAATGTGAATGACTTATGAATGTTTGTGAGGATTGAGTTACAATAATTCATTATCCCCTCGGTTGATAAAAATAAGAATCATTTGCCTTTGTGGCACCACAATTGACCCTAAAAGAGGGTCAGTTCATATGGGATTACAAGATAATGTTGGTGATTGCAACAACAATAATTGGCTACAAAAACTTTAGTTGGTTACTATAATGACTATAAATGGCAACAAATTATTTTTGTTGATCGACAACGATCATTGGTGACTGGTGACTCAAGAGTTAAGTTTTAGCACTTACCCTACTCTTTTCTCTCTTCCCTACCCCTAGAAGTGAAGAACAAAGGTCTATTAGCAGTTTTTTTAGAGGGACATTTTGATAAATTTCATCGGGCAATCCACATTTAATCTCTCAATCACAAATAGTTTTTCCAAACATTTTAGTGTCTTAATGACATCATAATTGAATAATCATTGGCTAGTTGGATTCCTCTTGTCGAGATGCTCGATTTAACTAAATAATGCTAAAGTTTTAAGATTTTTTAGCATTTCAATCGATGCACCAACGCATTTAAATATTCAACCTAGGTTATTTTGAACTTCGATGAATTATTTTTAGTTTTATCGAGTTTGTATTGTCATGATGTTCATTTTGACTATAAATTTCTTGAAATCAGGGCTCATATAATCTTAAATTTGAATTTGAATTTGAATTTGAAATATTTCTTGCTCAAAATACATTGAGGTTCATTCCTCATCACAAAAATTTGTTGATGACAGTTCAATTATGTTAACATATTTAGATATATTTTATATTGAAAATATTTTTGTGATGCATATTTTTAATTTTATTCGGCATATGCTCTCTCTCCATAAAGTTAATTTATCAGATAAACAATCAAATTATTATATAATAATTATTCAAAAGATTTGTTGTATCGAGATATGATATAGACATGACATCCAAAGTAATGATATGTATTTTAAAATAGCCTATTTTAATGTAAATTGTATTAAAAAAATTTTATAATATGGGTGGATGGAGATCATCCTTTTTTTTTTATTTAAAGACTAATTATGATGGTTTGCACACAAGTGAAAATATTACATTTGGATCTCGAACTCTAATTAAAATTTGACGTGTGTTAAATATGAAAAATATTATTTTATAATCTAAAAAACAGATAAGCTCGGCTCATATTGATTATCATAGACAACTATGTTTTATATTATGACATTCACATCAAATTGTTTATTTGAATATTTTTCTGCTTAGTACAATATGATTATATTAAAGAAAAATATTCAATATTATAATATTAAACATCATGATAGGGTCGAAAAACTCAACCAATTTTGATTATCATGACTTTAATGAAGGTTTTCTTTAATATAATTATATTGTACACTATGACTTTCACATCGAATTATTTATTCAAGATTTTTTTTACTTAGCACAACATGAATGTACTGTGTTGTACGCTACGACCGGATCAAACCGGATCAAACTAATGATTTTTTCTACATTTTATAACAAAATATTATTTTATATAATTGACGGTCATCAAATTTTAATCAGAGATTTCGGACGTAATATTTTCTTTGAATACGACCCTAATATCTTTGTCCACACCAACCAGTTCACTTAAAATTTAAAATAAATAAACAAAATCTTAATATATACACTGAAAAAAAGGCCAAGTTGACAGCAGTCAAACTATCTCCGGCGAAAGCTGCTTTCCAGGCGGCGACAGCCGGTGGCGACACGTTGGACACGACCCGTGCAAAAGCAGCCACGTGTCAATACAACTCACATGATACCGGTGATCGCATGCCGGCAAAATCCTGATCTTCTGCCCATCCGTAAAGTCCGACAGGCATATCGGACAACCCAGCGCCGCAAGCGGCGGCGGCGAAGAACCTTCACCGCCCGGCGTCTCGACGGCGTAGACGGGGATGGGAGTAGACGGTGATGGGAAGCGAGAGGATGTCGGTCCGCCGCAATCCCGCATTGATACGCCGGGCCGCGGCCCAGCCCGCGGGGTCAGAGATGGCTCGACGGGTGCACCGGAGCACGCAGTGGAGAGCCGAGTTGAGTCCGAGCGCGCAGACAAGCGCGCAAGTTATGGCAGCGAGCACGACCACCGTGTGTTGGGTGAGGAGGGGTGGAGTTGCGGCGGTGGAGGTGGCGGTGAGTGTGAAGGGGATGGGGGGTGGAGCAGGGGAGATGGTGGGAGGATAGCAGGGGAGGTGTCTGTCCATGGAGGAGGGAGGATGGGAGGGGGAAGAGAGGCAGGAAGAAGAAGATGGTTGATGGTTAAAGATATATGCTTTGAGAGAGATAAGCTTGCCACTAAGGTTTGCTTTCTTCGGAATGGATTGCTATCTTTAAATTTTGTGCGTTGGTCGCTTTTTTTAATCCTAAATCATTAAATATATATACTAATAAATGAGTATTTTAATTAAATATTTCAACATCTAAATCACCATTTTAACTTTTTTCTTAAGATTTAGACGAAAGAATTGATCACTCGAATGCTCAAAAGAGTACTACATGTTGGGTTAAATAAAGAATATATGTATATTCTGAAGACCAAATATACGATATAAGAAATTATGATGGATTTTGGCGAAGCCTAATCTATAAAGTTAATCAGTGGTAGCACAAAAGTCTAAAATATTTCTAATTTAAGGCTAACACTTATGCAAATCCGAAGAGATTCGGTCATAATTTATGTAGATCCATGTGATAAAACAAAATATTGATATATCATTAAAAAATTCATTTGATTAAGCGTGTATTTGAACATTTATTAAAATAAAAAAGATTAAATATTAAATTATATATTATCCAAACTTTGATTTGGATGAATTTATGATGGAACTAAAAGCTTTGATGAGATAAACCTAACGATGTTGAAAATCATCGGATCCAAGTCCAAATAAGACCAATCAATCCATTGTTATGTGCAGTAGAATCTTTAGGATATTAGTTAGAGAGAATCAAATGATTGCTAAATCTTGTATTTTTATAGTCCAGTTGAGCTTCTCAGTTAGATAAATATATGAGCTAAAGTTTGTTTAATTTTGACGGAGCTAAACATCTTGATGAGGCAAATCCATTAACATTAAAAATGATTTGATCTTAGTACAAAAAAGTCCAAATCAATTAGCCCTTGAAGCGTTGCTAAAATCTTCATGATATTAGAGGATCAAATGGAGTTTAAATCTTGTATCATTATAGTCAACTTCAGGATCTCAAAGAGATAAGCCTAGTGGACAAAATATTGTTTAATTAAGTTTTACATAACAAAATCACTCAAATACTCGAAAGATATTTGATGATCAAGGAAATTGCTCTGAACTATATGATGAAGTGCCTTAAATGTTGGTAATATTTAACATGATATTTCCTTAAAAATTTTTAAAATAAACTCCGACTCTCTGCCTAAAATGGAGTTGGATATAAGTACGAAAAGATAACTCGAATGTTTAGAGAATCACAAGGCTCTACAAAAATATAGTGGTCATATGATAGTTAACTTAGGATCTCCATAGTCCGATCGTTTCTTTGGACGGTTGCTACATTACCATCATTGTCAAAACACTATCATCAATCACCATATTCAGCCCGACTATGACAATCACTATCATCAAATTGGTGACGTCAATATCGTAATTAGATTTCTCTATCAAAACATTACCATTAATTGTTGCCACTAGAGACTAAAAACCCAGTAGTTGTTACTTGCTCACTTTATTAGACAGCCATCACTTGATATTATGGCATAGCATGATTGTTATTATGAAACAGCCGCCGTCATTAGACAAAATAATTGATAATTATTTAAAATTTCAAAAGGCAGCCAAAATTTTAAATTAGAAGAAGTAGATGTTCAAAGTTCAACTAATCAATCCAGAGTTAAACCAAATGGTTAACGAATTTTAAAATTATTTGACAATATAAATAATGTAATAATGATGCAAGAATATAAATTTTCAAATTCAATATACAATCTTCTTATTTAGGACACATCATTCTTGAACATTTTGAATATGATTCTAAATTAAATTTTTGGGAAGTCATATATTAAATTTTTTTTCCTACAATTTTCTTTTTAGCTATTAGATCAAACTCAAAAAGCTAAAAATTGATCAGTCTTAGTTAAAAATCATACTTGGTTCACCAATTTGTCGGTTTAACTCACGGATCTGGTCATTTTGGTCAAAATTAGTTTTGAATTTGGGTTGAAAATTTTGAAGAATTGATTCATGACTGAACCGGTCATATCGTTCAATTCGATTTGATTTCATGCCCGAAAGTATTAATTTAATGATAAGTTAATTTCTTTGATTAAGCATACTTTAAAGGAAAAATAATTAAAAAAAATAACACGTTTGGACAACGATAGTAACACAATTGTGCACTCATTATATCACAGAACATAATCATAATCAAATTTTCTTATGTGAACAATATGTAAATATGTTGTACTCATTATTTGTCTAAAAAGTTACGATACAAAGCCATCATCATATGATGGTATATTTTGATGCATCCGTTTGCGGCTTTATGATAATTAGTCATGATTTTTTGGCATATTCAACTATGAATTGAGCCATATCGGTTTGGTTGAGGTCAAGAATTGCTTTCGTATTGAATTGATCAAAATATATTAGAATTTATTGTCTAATCGGCCCAAAGATTTGAGCTTCAAATTATATCAAAATATTAAAAAATAAAATATCATGGTTTAAAAATATTATATATTAGTTTGAAAAAAATTACAAGCCAAGGCTCAACTCGTGTTCGGCTCGTTTATATTTCGAGCTCAAAAAGTGTGTTCGTGTTCGGCTCGTTTG